TCCTCTCCCTCCTCTCCCCAACAGCTCGACTGGCGCTGATAGATGCCCCATATCCATTTATTATTTCGTCTGGGGCATTTCCCAAAAATTGAAGACACAGTTATCATTGAACGATTCGTTTTCGTGGGGGGGGGGGGGGGGAGAATTAGCATTTTTAGCCCATTTTGTATTTCAAATGCAAATCCCTGTCGAACGGCGATCGATAGCATCCCCTGTCTCCTCCCAAATGAAAGATTTTCGTGCGTTTTTTTTTTAGGATGGAGAGGGAGAGGGAGAGGAGGAAGGGGAGAGATAGAGAGCGAAATTTGAAGGAGGGGTAGGGAGAGGGAGATAGAGATAGAGGACCCAGAGGCAAGGAGAGGGAGAGGTTTGAGGAAGATGAGTTGGAGAAAGAGAAGAATTCGGGAAGGGAGTGGAGAGGGAGAACAGGAGGAAGAGGAAGTGGAAGAAGGAGGATAGTTGATAGAAGAGGAAAGAGAGGGAGAGGGAGTATGGGAGGGAAAGAGGGACGAGGAAAAGGGAGAGGAGTGAGAGAGGGGGAGAGGGAGGAGAATGAGGAGAGGAAGAGAAAGAGAAAAAAGAGAAAAGCAGGGAAGGTGGGAGCAAGAGAAAGAGGACAGAAACACAAAGGAGCACACAAACTTCACACACACACACACACACACACACACACACACACACACACACACACATATATATATATATATATATATATATATATATATATATATATATATATATATATATACATACATATATATATACATATATATACATTGTAGTTTTCACTATCACCACCATCACCCCACTCCCTTACAACCCCCACCATCAATCACCCCCGCACTCCCACACCACCTTCACGATCATCCCCCACAAACCCCCACCACCTTCACCACCACCACCACCACCACCACCAACCATCGTCATTATTAGCGACGTGTCCGCAGCCCCCGTGTCCGCAGCTGGAAGAGGCAATACTTCATTACCATCGATTGCGCTGTTAGTACGCACACGCCTTTGATTATGATAATTTGTGGGGAATCTATACGACGTGTTAATTGTGCTCAGCGAGATTAATCGTCTTCCGGAAGTTACCGCTCGGCCATTGATTGCCGATGGTTCTGAAGGCGCTTGTGTCGCCGCCCTGGCTTGCAATAGTAAGTGGTCGAGATTTTTTTTTTTTCTCTCTCTTTTTTTATTTATTTTTTTTTTTTTTTTTTGATGGGTGGGGGGGGAGGGTGGTGGGTGGGGTAGGGGAGGAAGAAGCTGGGGAAGGGGAGAGGGAT